ACAACTGTTGCGGTCACCAAATTGTTTTACTTACTTTGGTCGCTGAACTGTCCCAAGCTATGGCTCCTGAAAGATATCGACAAATTTCACTCCATAATTTTGAACACATTCCACGTGGCAAAAAAGCGTTTGAAAGTTTCGCGACCGTCCTCACGGAACGAACTTAGATCGTTTTCCTGTACATATTAGGCTTAGCAAGGTGTTGTGGGTAAATTTCTCATGATAATCTTGGACTGTAAAACATATATCGAGCCGCAACGGATGGTATTCCTCACATTTAAACCGAGAGCTCTCAGAAGCTTCAATGTCTCTGATCCACCTGATCTCGATTCTACTTGATGCCATTTTGCGCTTGCTAGCTATTTTAGAACAGTGCTGTTGCAAGCAATCCTGTAATGTCGTATTTTTAGAAGGCGTTTGCACGCGTACTGGGATGGATGGTTGCTGATACCACCCTTTTTCCTTATCTGGGTTTTAGGGATCCTGGCAGACTGCGCAGTATAGATGTAATTGTACTGGTATGCAGGGAATATTGTATTTTTCTTTAAATCCTTGCCATGCCATCAGTTTTTTTTGTCGTCGAAGAGATCTCCGATAGACTTTGCACTCTTCTTACTCAGCTACTATATTTCCCTGTGTGTAAGATTAGTAACATCAGAGTTGGAAGATGTTCTCATTGCAGGGAAGCTCATGGGGTGCATAAAACTTTCAAAAATAAATCCAAGCGGAGATCACGCCTTTCCAGAAAGGGTTTTGCTTCTTCAATGCCACTACCAACAACCGAAGCTCTAAATGCATCATTCTGTGTTAACCTTGTGTGGCACAGGTAGGCGTCATTTAAGATTTTTGCCCATCATGGATCTTTTGATCCGTCTCATTTTCAGGGATTTACAGACGTTCCACGCGGGATTACCAAAGGTTATCGCTGCGCGCGCCAGAGGCCACGTCTGCGACCTTGTCGGCGGAATCACAAGGGTCGCCGTTGACAAATTTGTGACCTGCTGAAAAGGTACGTGATGGCATCACATCACCGATCTGCACATAATAATGCATGTCATGAAACAGACATAACCGTAGTACAACAAAACTAAGCAGGTTCCGGGTCGAAATTGGAAAAAGCAGATTGAGAGTATATAGCCTCGGCAGACCGGGGCAGCTTAACCGCGACAATTGTGCACATGTCCGCGGGCGGCAGCTTTGTTTCAACGACGATGATTTCGCCACGAGCTCGTGAGAACAAAATCTGGAGGACGGTGCACACCCGTGACAGTTCCTAGCACCATCCCTCCAGATGGATGCAAAGTGGCATACTTAGAAATGGTTCGAACACTGTCTTAGCATGTCAAACCTTCGGCAGATGATCAGCTCTGCTCATCATGGATGTCATTTGAGCCTCACCAGGAACCTCGAAGTGATTGCCTCGCAGAGACAACCATGTGACTATCAGCACCATCCACCTACACCAATCGCCGTCTGCAGCCGCTTGACGTCGCGTTCATGGCCTCCTCAGAGCATCTTGATTTACAGAGTCTGGGTACATTTCTAAACCAGAGCCCTGAGAACGAGTCGCAACCCATCTTTCAGGTGCTAGTTTCTTCTTCGACGAGGCTCACTTGAAGCGGCCACGCCTACCACAGTCATCAACGGTTTCAAAAAGTGCGGGACTGTTTCGCTGGATCGCGCCGTATTTGACGAGTCCGACTGCGCGTCTGCCGAGACAACCAGCCGCGAGCTCGATGGTGTTGACACCGACAGCGGAGCTGAGGCGTCCTCGTCTACGGAAGCCTCAGCAGCACCTGGGGCTTGCTCGACAGGCAAGACGCCCACGGCTTCGGAAACATCCTCGTCCTTGGCTGCTACGCGTCTACGTGTAGGAATGAGGAGACCTCCACAGCTACAGGGATGATAGAAACGTCCTGGGACGCCGAAATGGTCACAGCGGTGGAGGAGCGCACAACAGAGGAGACGTTCACGGCTGGGATGATTAAGCCCTCCTCGTCAGTGGTGGTAGCTTGGGCAATTGTTCCACCTGCTTCGCCACCTCATCCAGCTGCTGCAGTGCCA